TCGTATAGGGAGATCATTTGAACATTAGGAAAGCTTCTTTTCGACGCTACCTTGATTCCCTATCAATTTCACTTGAAATCTAATCTCTCTCGAACGGAATACCAATGAGAATATCTTTATAAAAGAGCTATTTTTCTCGTATTTAGCAATAATTTTTCCCATTATTCACTTTTTTGAGGTTCTGTCGTAGAATGACCAATTTCCCACTATTTTATCGTCTGAACGCAACATTTTTATTCTATTAGAGAGCGTTTTGACTAGACATCTTTGTAACTACAGAAAAAGATGCTGTTATAATTTAAATACTGTCCTTTCTACGTTTTTCTCCTATATATCCTATATAAGGATTATGTATTCACTTGAATCTTGTAAACACTTTAAAATATCTGATGATTTCAGCTTTAATATGAGTAGAGTGAGTGAAAGTTTGTGATTCTACCAGAAGCAGTGAAAGTTAACATTTTTTAAGTATCTCTAATTAACCTTCATTGGTTGGTAGACATCACTACGGAGATTTGACTTGGTAATTTCTAATAAACTGGTCAATCGATATATTGTTACTAGCGAAAACAAGGACATGTTTACAATCTCTGAATGAGTAAAAAAATAAGATCTCCGACGTTCCTTGAGTTAGTGTAAGGCACTTCTCTGCAGAATATAGGAAACTGATTTATTTATTCTCTGACGTATGTTCTGATAATGTCTATGAAGACAATGAAAGCTACAGCTCAGAGGAAATAATATTTTCAATCGATAAGAGACCACTAACCATGGTAAACAAGAATCTAAAGGATTTAACTGAAAGCATACAAACTTGAAGTGATAGTTTTTCGGACATTGAAATTCGTTTCAACATAATAATTAGAGACAAGTTGCAATTTTATTTGTTATAACATTGATTTCATTAAATTGTATACTTGTAATAATTTTGTGTTTTCCTCAAGTTTCAAAATTACGGAACTATTCACAAACAACAATAAATATATCTTTTAGGATAAGAAGTCTTCCCCTTTCTCTGGCTGGTTTAAAAATGCTCATCAGTTCTATGAATTTAGGTGAGTTTTTGTAGATCAATTTTTGGTTTTTGTCGTACAACTTTTCAAACATCCTCTTCTTGATTATAAAGCAGCCTGTAAGTAGATTGTTTATTTTGTGGCTGCTAAAGTGACTTTATTTTTTTTATCAAAAAGTTAGTGCTTCGTGCTGATGACCAGCTAATGATCAGAATTTTATTTTATTTCGTAGTAAGATATACTTAACAGTACACTTCTAACTGAAAAGCTTTCAAAAGTTTAGTCCGTTTTTCAAGAAAAATCAGAAGTTTTGGACTGAACTTGTGTTATTTTTGATTTGGTATTTACTTTCATACATGCAAGTATAATATTGACATGAAACCTTTACCATCTGATGGGATGTAACTGAAAGTGATATGTAACGTCAAATTTAGTTTTTCAGGTTGCTATCATCAGAAGCACATCAACACCGATGTAAAACTACCTTCTTAACCAAATTGAAAAAAATCATCTATTGTTTAATAACCAATCAAAGCAGCTTCGATATCTTTCATGGTTCCTTACTGCAACTGCAAAACAGATATGTAGCATCTAGATGTTTATTATGTCGTTCTGGTATTATAAGTGGCTGTGTTTTCAAATGAATAAGTTATAAGATATAAAAAATATCACCAAACAATATCTTAATTTACATTTTTGTTAAATATGTTAATTCCATTAAATAATATGTAGTGTATTGTGACTGTCTTGAGTCTCGCGCGCGATACCGAGTGGTCCTGGGTTCGAATCCCGCGAGCGGGATGAGGATCTCATACTAGGATGAAAGAGCCGTCTAATTCTTCAGATTTTCCATGGTGGTTTAGTTTTATACACATAGTTCCCTTTATTATCTTAAATAGAGCAAGAACAAAGATTGGTGCAGAATAATATGAATTCATTTTATTTCGTTAGGTTCTCATCAGCTGCTTACAACCTAAAATATTTAAAATTCAACATTAATACAGATATTGACATATTTATACATAAGAGTGTGATTAAGGATCAATACATATGTATGATGATGTAGCAAGCAAAGATTCAGATAGAGTTAATGAGCTCATAAAATGTTTGATTCGAATAAATGAATAAAGTTAGAAAGGGAAAGTTCCAGAACATTGAAATAGTGATTAGAACTCATGAAAATAGATTAATGGTAATAAAGAAAATATGAATTGAAATCAATCATTTATGTATGATGTAATTTATATTTCAGAAAGAGTTGCAATAATGACGTAATAAATAAATAAATAGGAGCAAATTAATAGAAAGAGTGAGGGTTATTGTTACCAGGGTAAAGAAAGATTTATTACTGTCTCTTTTTGTATGCATAGATCTGGTTTTAAACGTTTGATTGCTAACGCTTCAGCGAATTTCAAAAGGTTCGAGTTTGATTGTTTGTTAATCACCTTGAAGGACTTCAGTATATCAGCTTTATGTCCTGTATCAAGGAGATGTCTTGCGATAGCACTGTTGAATGAGTTCAATCCATTCAATCTTAAACTTTTCGGAATATGTTCTTTGAATCGGACGTAGGCTCTCCTTTCTGTTCTACCAATGTAACAATAACCCTCACTCTTTCTATTAATTTGCTCCTATTTATTTATTTATTACGTCATTATTGCAACTCTTTCTGAAATATAAATTACATCATACATAAATGATTGATTTCAATTCATATTTTCTTTATTACCATTAATCTATTTTCATGAGTTCTAATCACTATTTCAATGTTCTGGAACTTTCCCTTTCTAACTTTATTCATTTATTCGAATCAAACATTTTATGAGCTCATTAACTCTATCTGAATCTTTGCTTGCTACATCATCATACACATGTATTGATCCTTAATCACACTCTTATGTATAAATATGTCAATATCTGTAATAATGTTGAATTTTAAATATTTTAGGTTTAGTTTTAATTGACTTATGAATTCAATTATTAAATTAAAAATCTGTTTGGTATTATAAAGAAGAATAATTAACTAATCTGATTAGTTGAGTTACACTTTGCGGACAAGTGATCAACTGAAGCTGATTATGAATACAGTGGGTAATGCTGGAGCAAAAAATTGATGGTCATCGATGAGGAAAACTTCTATACAGATGTCCCGTTTCTAATTTTTTAAAGTCACGCCCAAGTTCAAAGTAGAGGATATGTAAATGTTGTGGTTACCTGGTCAGTATTTTGGGAGAACCTTTTAATATGCAGATGTATGGTCCAGTTATATCATTTAGGGAATACGGTTTGAAGTCACAATGAGATTAGTCAATGAGTATATCAACAACTTGTGCGACTTCGGTATGTGACACACATGTCAAGGTTCTACTAGAATCAGTGAATATTTCATACCTGGAATAAAATCACTGTGCGAAGAATCTTAGAGTTACTAAAACACGGTACACAATCAGTTTATTAATAATTTACTCTTATGTTTCTTTAAGAAAATGTGAGTTATTTGATGTAATAATAACGACGGCAAAAACTACATTTTTCGGGAGCATTGGGTCAGCAGAAGAAATGATCTCACGTTTTATCCCAATAAACGTGCTAAAATAAGTTTATGCTTTTTGGAAATGCATCTATATCATATTTACTTACTTTTAACCTAATGTTTTAATATTGATTGATGTTTTTATAACTGTTATTTCTCTTGATACTCAAATCAGCAGAAGCGAAACAATTTTTTAAAAAAATGACTTTCAACACTAGAATTATCATTATCCTTAATCATTATTATTAATTTAATACCCATTGTATAACAGCTCGTGGAATGCACCATACTCGAAAGCAAATAGCGTTACATGCTATCGATTGGTTGACGTTTGGATTACAAACGGATGGGGGAGGTGTGAAGGCAACTACAAGTCCTAGATTTACTCAGAAAATTTCTACAACACAGCCATTTCTACCAGAAGATTCAACTCCAGAAAGCATGTTTATGACGGTAAAAGTAGGTATCAAATGACAAACTGAATAAAAAAGGACACTATACGTATTGATTGAAAATAAATGTGGTCATCGTACTTTGTGAACATTTTCAGCATTGTTCTCCACTAAATTCCCTGACTTCTGATTCGTTTTTCATTCTGATTAATCTTTGTCACACTAACTAACCTTGGATATATTTACTTTACTCAGAAAAACTAATGACCAATTTTTATCTATCTCCAATGTTTAGTGGATGGTGGTAATGCTAAGTGGATAGTCAAGATTATTTATCATTAATAAAATTAACAGTCCTTTGTCTAGTTTAAGTTATTATTCAGGACAATTTATAAATAGTTAGTTTTAAAATATTGTGGACCACAGTCTTGATATATTCTAAAAGAATAAGAAATCAGAGGGCTGAGTATTTCGGTTAGTTCGGTTAACTATTAAAATTCAGTAGCTGTAATCTACTCATGATCATCATAATTTCAACTGACAGGTAAGAAATTTGTGTGAATTTGCCCATTAATACTATTTTTGAAATAGCAAGATGTCTGAAGGGAATAGCAAAGGGATATCAATTTACTCTAAGACCAATCATGTGTAGAAATGATTTTGCTGTGCACATTAAGATGTTTTTCTTGTTATTTTGTTAAGGTCCAAACTACGAATCTATCACACATTCCAGATGGCAATGTGTTGTACTACACGTGGTTAAATGGGTTAGTAGATTTTCTCACGTAGCTGCATTAGTACTCTAGTGTTTTTATATTCAATAGTTTCAAATAATAAACAATCTCTATCAACAACATATTTGAATGCTCTCAAAAATTGCTATTTTCGATCACATATTCTCTATGACGTGATTCCAGGATAATATTCGTTCACACGAAATCCTCATTTGTGATTGGTTATCATAAACATCAGTTAGGCCGAAAAGTTTAGTGGTAATAAAGAAATATTTGTTATCACGACTTTAATCACTAATAATGTTGACATTTACTTATAAAACACTGTTCAGTAATTACAAAGTTATGGGTGGCATACAGTCAGGTTACACGAACCAACTATAATATATCAACTTTATTCACATAGTGAGTGTTATGAGGCTATAACTAGAATGTTTATATTCAATTAATCTATTTATTTTGTGTATTACAGCGTAGTCCGTTTATTAGTTTTCAGCGTTGATTCCGGAGAGTTTGTTCAATTTTGGTGCTACTATGAGCTACGAAACCGTTTCAGCTCAGATGATAATTCAGTTCTACTTACATAACTAAGTGAACTGAATTGGGTTTATGACTCCCAGTACCTGAAACAGATTTTGAAAGAAATCTAAAGACTATCAGAGTTTTCTTTTGAAACGAGATTTGTTTGAATAACATTTAACGCTGTGAAGTAAAAAGAAAGTCTTCAGATTTAAAGCCAGTTAATAGTGTTACAGCTGAACAGTGGTAGCTATTACTTATTATAACAAAAACTACCACTTGTTAAATGTGTAATTGGTAAAAGGAATATTTGACTAAATCATTTGTTTCACACAGCTTTTGTCTATTTTGTGAATGTTTAACCGAAAAAATTGTTATCTATTTCAGCTTGATTACTTAACTCTATTTAGGCTTCTGTAACTATAGGACATCTTGAGTTCGTGTAAAGTAATGATTACTGTTTATATATCCTATTTAATAAATGCTATACAAAATGTGAAAAGACAAGAAAACAGTTGGAAAAGACGCTCATAGATAAATATGATTTAATTCTAGTACGTATATAATAGTTTGACGTCAGGATGGTGTTCAGACAAAAACGAAATGTATGACTACTTCTGTACTAACTAGAAATATTCGACTTTTCACTAACCTTGTTTCTGTTGACTACTCTAATGGAATCTAGGATCTTATTTGGAATTGTTGTACCGATAATAATCGTAGTATCCGAATGGGGACTTTGGGACCATTATATATCCTGTTTGGACAACTTTCGACAAATACTATTATACGATTGATCAAGCTATCAGTTGAGGTAAATTCATGTATAACGAAAACATTTTCAATGTTTTACATTTTACAATATAACCATTCATGTCAGACATAAATAAAACAATATCTTGAATTCTATGTAACTGACAGTATGTCAGGGAACATAAATGGGTGCTTATTGACAAAGATGCTGTCTGTTATTAGTAGGCTTCGTGATTCGCAAGGTATATCTGATATAATATTGTGTTTTATTGTCATAAAGAATGTGCTATTTTATAATACGTTCCAACAAATTATTTTCAGAATACAATTTACACCTCTTAATAAGTTTTATTCATCCATTAAGTTATTTCTTTAAATTTGGAGCTCTAGTGAGATGCCATAATCACCAAGGTTCAACCATGTTGGGGAACTAGTCAGGTATCGCTAATTCCAATGGATAACGGTTGCGTAATATAGCGAACGAACTAATGCTAAAAAAGTTAGACAAAATTACATGGCGTCCCGTACGATCCACGAATTACCTGGTTCCCGCGATGCCCGAAGGTCCCAAGTTCCATCCTTGTGGGCCAGCTTGGAATGGATGTCCAGTGCCTCATGGTTTTTGGTAGTTGTGTAACAAAAGTTGACCACTGACATATAATACAAACTGAACAATCTCGAAAAATCCCCTGTACTCATTTTAACAGGATATTACTATCCATATAGTGATGGAAAGTTTCTATTATCCGAAATGAAAACCTTGTGGATTTTTTAGGTATTCTTACCACTAGTTTGAAATTAAGTATTTTCACCAGTTTAAGGAAAACATTCATACAATGTTAATAAGATTGTTTTGTCAATGTTAAACAATATCATGTCTTCAGCTTTCGTGTGGTCGATTATACCTATTTTAAAAACTTCTGTCCGTTGCAGTGTAAATTTTTGTTTCATTATTGCTTAAACAGAGTTCAATTAACTGATTTAAAAAAACAAGATTAATTTACAAGGCTTTTTGTTTTTATTAATTTAAATGAATTACTTGGTTAGTTACTATTAAAAGATCATGACGTTTTGCTAAAGATTAATGAATAAATGATATCAATATTATATTGCAAGAATGAACGGAAAAGTTTAATATAACCCATAAGAAAGTTCTCTTACTTCGTTTGCCATCAAATATGATTGTTAATTTTTCTGTAAATTGTACAAATAGGATGATCAGCCTAAGTTTCTGTCAAAGTTTATAAGAATCTAAAACGATAACCTTATTTTTCTTATGGATTAATGCCTATTTTGAGGAAATACTGTATGCTAGTCTATCTAGTTCTATTATTATTGCTATCGTCATCGTGATTACTAGTTCATGTTACTATGGTGAAATATTATGTATTGTGTTGGCAGGGTACATGTTTACATTTTAACCTAAAATGAATAACAATAGATTTTCTGAGGCCTTCCAATGAATACCCTGCAAAGATATAAAATCAAAGTAATTTTAATGGAATTCATTTTGATAATGTTGAATATAATCATTCCAGTAAACCGAGACTATAATTTAATAACCTGTCCTAGTTTAATGACCATTACGAAATATATCCGATTTTATTATCATAACCAAACGTAATATAGATTTCTGGACCTTAAGTGATTCCGTACATTTGTAGTAACAGTAGTATGGTGTCATCCAGTTCACTTGGTAAAAATGGTTCTGTAAAACTTGGTCCTTAACAGTTGTATAGTGATTGATCGGTTCAATATTCGTATTGAAGCAACTTAGAAATACATTAAAGTAAATGGCTCAACTCTTAACTTTTATGTATTCTATGGTGTTGAAAGTCGAAGTCAGACGCAACGTAGAACCTAGTATTTATGTATATTAATCCAAGATCTGAAACCCCAAATGAAACTAATCTAATAAATGTGTGTTTATTACTGATTTATATGAATATTTGACTGATATATGCTTTTAAAGTTTATCATTTTTCTCCACCAATTGGCAAAAAGGCCAAAAAACAAAAACCTTAAAGCGTAAAAAAATAACCTGGCTGAGAGTTTGCAACCGTATGTAGAAAATAAATGATTTAACAGGGAATGATACTTTTGAAACTCATGCCACGTTCACAAATTAATATACTACTAACTTCAACGTTTGATAAGCTGGAGGTAACACCTCCTTATCCAGTGCTTAGAACCAGGTTTCTCTGTCGGAAGATTTTTTGAAATATTTTAAAGAAAATTGTTTACGACCACCGGCATTAGTTTATGAATGCACTCACAATGTCGTTGAAAATAAGGCGTAAAACCAACACCTTAATAGAGCACCGAATTCAACGAGAAAGTTATTTTTCACTGACGGAAAAATGAAGGGTGTCTGACGTAGGGACTTATGGTTTGAAGAAACAGAAGTTTATGAAAAATAAAATAACTAAAAAATAGGTTTTTGGAGATTTATACAAATATAGTTCAGCTCAATGTTATTTAATTTACTGTCAAAAATTACTGGTCACTACAGTTACTGTCTTGCACACTTAGTAACTTAAACTCGTATGCTGTTCAACTGTCAGCTTTAGTATGCTATTACAGTCATAGTCTTGATCCCAGTAAAACGGCATCTCGATTAACAACAGATATGTTCCTTTATATTACCCTCTGAAATTTACTAAGTGAATGGGTTTTTAAATCAAACGCAAATCGATTTCAATACTTTGTATACTTCTAGGTCTATTTTCAATAGAATGTTTTAAAATAGTTTTTATGTCAGAAGGTTTTCCTTTTATTTCAGGATAAAACTAATATTGTTTAAGTAGTGGGTACCTTTAAATGGAATGACAGTTGTAGTAATCATGCTAACCTTCCGAATTCTTTAGTACACTACAGTCTGTATTAAAAATCGATGAATTGGGTACCTTTTGATTGTCGTTTAGGACAGTTTCCTGTGACAAATAATGTTCATTGTGTCAGTATACTGACAAATATAGAGATTACAATATATTCGGATCCACTGGATAAGATTTTTATCAAGATATACACATTATAACTGCTGAATTTAATGACATTTTCTCAACATTTTCGAGATGTAATCTAAATTGTTTGCTGCGTATCCAGTTTTGATAGTGATTATTCATCATTCTTTGTGAGTAGTGTAAGTATAATCGGTAAAGCAAGACTCATTTATCTGTGATTAATGTTTTAAGTAAGCAACTGTACACAATGTAGGCAGGAATAAATTTTTATTCTTAGCATTTTATCCAATTATGTTTCTTTTCTTATGTCTAAACGCAAATGAAGATCCATTTCATTTATATTATTCACAAACAAATTAGCTTACTTTCTTGTTTTCATGCTACGTTGATTAGATTATCTGGTTTTGATAATCTGTAAACTGATTTTTACAGTGCTTTGGTAGATTACTCAGTATATACGTATATAGATAGATAAATAAAGATTTATTACTATAACATGTGTAACGCTTATCATACTATCAGTACTCGTTGGTTAGTGAGTTTAGCCTTGAAACGGTTACAATATACTTTATGTTTTGTTATAGGTCAGTACTTTTGGCTGACGCTTATATATATATATATATATATATATATATATATATATATTCTAATAGTTTCTTAAAAAATCAATCTCTTCTCTCTGTCTCATTTCTTCTGTTTCTGAAATGCGTGAAGATCAAGCTGCATGAAAGATAATAACAATTAAAATAACCCAGATTATTCTAAACATATGAGAATACCTCAAATAGGTCTTATTCATTTTAAGTAGTGATAATACTATTTGTATGAGTAAATAAAAAACCAATATTAATTCAGTAAACCAAGGCCTGCCATTTTCTTTTTTCTTCAACTAGCATTGCTTTATTTCTAACCAATATAAATAAATCTGCCTGAATTAGGGTCATTCAAATGACAATCACTGTAATTGCAGTTACGATTATAATATTTAGTAGTGTTTATAATATGTGAATTACAGTAAATCCAAAGGAATGTAGATTATATATATATATATATATATATATATATATATATATATATATATAAACGCACATTAACAGTAAGCAATTACTTAGAGACGTATGTAAGTGATGCATTGTATTCAAGTGCTTAGGAACAGTTGATGAAAAGAATGTTCTACAATTATGATTAGGCAGCGGGGCATAACTTCAGCCGTGTTGAGATTTATTCCATTTGTTAGGTAAATTCGACCAACACTTATGTTAACAATATCAACACTAAATTATTTTTAGTGTACTAACGACTAAATTTGTATAATTAATTCAAACTTCGATGACGAAATCCTCCTAAACTACTAATTAATTTCTGAGGGTGACATTTCAAACATGAACATACTATTATGCGATGAGCACTCTTTGTCTAGACGTGTGATCGCATAAATCTTTCATATTGTTTACTTCACTGACCATTTGTAAATAATATCTAGTAGATTTCATTCAAGAAAGAAGAGAACAAGCCTTACGCTTCTGGCCTGCGATCAGTCTGTGTTGACCACATATTCAAAATACAAAGTTAATTGAATTATTTTCAGTAACGTATTTCCAATTTTACAGTTAGCACTATCTGGTATCAACTTTACGGTTATCCGTCTGAGACAACCTCACAAAGTTTCAAATGTACACCTTTACATTTCTTTTTGTTGTTTCTGTTAATATTACCTCCAGGAAAAGAGCATTACGACAATTCTATAAAGGTTTAAGTCCTATTTTAGAAAAATATTATTTCATGCCCTGATACATTTCGTTCATATCAGTGGCTTATCTTAAATTTTTCTTTCAAAACTGACATCTGTTCATTTTTTGTTGATTAGCTTTTCATTGTCAATCGTTAGTTTGAATACTATGTATACAGTGTAAGAGAATTATGACAAACGAAACTAAATTAGTTCACGCTTAATAGTAAACTGACTAAAATTAAACTGTTTACAGCCTATATATATCGTTTATTCGAACAGTAAAACCATTGCGGTTAAAAACAAAGTAGGTCACGATCATAAAAAAATTTGGAGTAAAACATTTTAATCGTTTCCATAATTTCATTAAAATTTATTGACTAATTCATAATTTTATTCGTTCACAATTTCAGATATTGGAGAAACCAGAAGTCTGTGCTAGTGAAGTAACTGAAGGTGTCATAGATAGTAAGAAAGGTTTCTCTATATAGTGATACTAATGAAATCTACAATAACATTTCATCGTTTATTTATTGTTAACGCAATGTAACAGACAGTTGCTAGTGTAAACGTCTCTATTGTAACTCAATAATTGAAAAAAATTATTTGATTTAAATAATTAACTTACGGCATATTATTTTACATGAGGTACTATTGGTAGAAATACAAATACGTTTCCTGAGGGATGTACCAAATTCAGTTGTGTTGCTATTACTGCTTCAATTTAAGAGTTTTAAAGTGTTCACTGTAAACCTGTTACAAAGGTAATATTTGAATACCTAACATGAAGTAAACATGTTATCGGAATGAGTCATAAGCCTTGGAAAAACAATTCAAGCCCATTGAACTCAATACATAATTTCCATCCCAAAATGCTTTGAAAGATAAATTAATATAGATTTTGTTGAGATTCCATAAAAACCAGGTATCATAAACAAGAATATCGTTGATTGAGGTATTACTTATGATTTTTCAACATGCTGTCCTAAAGCCTTCTTCAGATTCACCATTTAGTAGGTAGTTTCAAATAATCTTTCAGTAGCTTGGTACTCATTATATTTTTGATATTTATTACAACGTCGTATTTAGACCTTACATTAACACTTAACTACATTTATTTATTCTATTTTAGTTACTAACATTTATTTCTGCTCAGACATATTTTTTTCCTTGAGGTCTATTTTCCTTTATGTGGTACATGGGAAGTTATACAGAACTAATAGGTTTTTATAGAGATATTTCATTACTGTTTTCAGTACTTAATGTTTTGCTGAGAAGGTTGGTGCCCAGCGAGCAACTATGTAATTCAAGGACATCATTATCTGGAAACACACTAATGTCAAAAACGAATCTTTCTGCCTATAAATTTTCAGAGGTAAGCAAACAAGTTGGAAACCATTTTGTTTCCAACCTTATAAGCCCTCAATAAATTCTATTAATGTAATATTCTTTAAGTGAATAAACTTTTGAGACAATTAGTTCTTTTGATAAATTTCGATAGCGTTATAGGAAAACGAAGATTATCGGAACTATATGATATATTAGTGCATTACATTTTGGACAATCTGATTACACATATACTTGTTAAGGACATTTATGTATAAAAATAAAACATCAAAGAGACAAATGGAGAGTAAAAAGAGACAAGGGTAATAGAGAAAACAGTGTGAAAACAGTTTGAAACCTCATCACTCTGGATAATAAGCTAATATTATCAGGGTAGTTTTAAGATAAAAACTATCTGTTTTTGAACATACAAAGGGGGTTTGAATTTTCGTGTGATTTTATTTGTTTCTGCAACCATTTAGGTACATGTTCACGCACCTTAAATATCAAACTTTTATTTTCGCTTGTTACATATATAGGAGTACGTTCAGAATCAGTTGTTTCCAAGACTGAGTACGACGATTACCAACTTGTTTCAGAGTAATCACTTCAGTGTACGCAAAGCTGCAGTCAGAGTTTATCTAACCTGCCTCAGTCGATGTCCGAATGAAGTAGGTTTCAATCGTAATTTTTTTTGAAAACTTTGCTTAGTTTACACTTTTTCGATTTGGTGAACAGAATCAATTGAATTGGTCCGATAAATCGATCAAATTTCAGCTAATCAAAGTTCACATCAGTCCAAAGCTTTGAATCATAATACGTTTTAATCATTAGAACATCTGAGCTCTATCAGAAGCATATGTGTAGCTGGAGCTGTCCTGTACTACTCACCAAAAAAGAAATTTCTCACTGAGGTACCTGAAAAAGTTGTTCTTGCTTTGTTTAAGACTAGATTGGTAGTGATAATTTTGTGTATCCAAGATTGTGATTCCTGAGTTCAATCGGGAACTGTTTACAGCTGGTTACTCATAGACTTTCTGTTAGCACCTTTTTTGCCAACTCTTTACCTGTCACCGGCAACACGAATCTATGAAACAAGGTTCGGTGTGCTATTTTCAGTGCCCAACTTGTTTCATTCTCAAGCGCACTAATGAATATAGTTATTACAGAAATTTGTTTTACTACAAGATTATTTTTTGTCTTATTCAGTGTTACGGCGATTTAAAATGAATTTTACAATTAATCAATTACTTCACTGTAAGCTTTAAGAACAAGTCTAAAGAATCAGTTTATGAGGAAAAGTAATCTAGTGGTTGCGTATTTTGAATGACTAACAAATGGCACCATCACATCAAGTATATCCATATTGAGATATTGGAAATGACTCCAATCAACAATAGTCTTGGAATCAACAGTAGAAGTTGCATACCATCTACATCAAACGCCACTCAAAATGATCAGATATAATGCAATTAATAAATACCTAATCATATAACTGTTGATAATAATATTAATAATTTTAGTAACATCATTAATATTATTATCAGTGTTTGTTTGTGTATACGTCATTAGACATTTAAAGAAGTTCTTCTTCAAACTGTAAATGATTTATGCATGAACGCGGATAAGCAATCTGAAACCTACCAAGATAAATCAGTAAGCTTTTATTTTCACTTTCTTTTAATGTACTATTCTTAAAGTTAGTAAAAAAGATTTTACACTAATTGGCGTACATAAAAATGGTCTTAATATTTTGTTAAATATTTCATAAATCAACCAATGTCTAAGTTTTTACATAACTGACATGACCAATCGCTTGATAAAGTAACATTTCATTTATGAGTGTCTGTAATTAAGTGACACACTAAACTTTCAACCATTTTTAGAACAGTAGCTTTCATTCAAAGGAATTAGTGCTTAATTTGACATCGCATCTATTCATAATAATCGTTGCTTCCTTTTCTTAAATACATCTTTTCTCCTTAATTTCTGTCAGTTAATTAAGAGAAAAATCAAATGCTTTAACAAGACCAAACAACAAAACAAAAGAAATACAATTTTAGGCTTTATTTTTGCATTGTATATTTTACATTTTACCAGGCTCAATATGTCACCATACATTCTTTATTTAAAGCCTTTAATAACTTAAAACTTTAATTATCAGACAGTTATATTAATTGCTTGCAGCCCTCAAATTTCGAAAGCTGGAAAAGTAACCCATATTTCAATGAAAGTCTCCTAACTCTTTGTCGATCTTTAATTAAGGTAAGTTTTCCCATATTATCAAAATTACCAATGTGGTTGAAAATTCTTTTCTTCAACATTCATAATAATTTATTATTTTTCATATTAATTGTGTTTATTCTTACCCTGTAAGGATGTAAAATAAAACAAAAGTATCCAGGCACTTACTAAACAATATAGTCATAAAAATAATTTGTTGGTAACCAGTGAGAGCGTAAAATGTGTTCTGTACTTCTTATTTCTGAATCCAGCTCTGAATCCTAGACTAGAAATCAATCATCCTATTAGATATTCTTTTCAAAACGTCCAAATGTATACAGCTACGCAAATAGTATACAATTTATAGAGCGAAAATCAAGTAATGTTACTGATAAGTCTTGTCAATTTGAACGCTTTATTCGGTTTCTAAGCTATTCTGGTAACTCAGCAACCTGAATTCGAGAGAATAGGAGCAAAATAAGCGAAAAACACTTTACTCCAAAGGTTCAATTTTGTACAGAAAAACACGGGTATTTATAAATGTTAACATTTGTTAAATCAACATCGTATTTTGGCCAATCCGCTAGAAGACATTATGCTACCGACCAACAGTAGCACGCCATGTCGATATTCTAGAAAGCTCCATCATGCTCTGAGTAGCTAGCACTCCGGCCCCTTTAGGGCCTCTGGAGGCTCCGTTGCAGTTCTTGGAAAGCCTACTCAACAGTTAAATAGAAATATTTTAAAGTTAGATGTTTTTACGTAAAGTCCCTTATTCAGCAACCATTCTTTTCAATAAAATATCAATTTAATTACAAAATTTTCATATGTTAATTTTAGAAAGTTGGTGAAACCAATCTGCCTTCGAATACTGGGGACTTACAGAACTGTTTAGTTAATTTTTATTTGGGTCATTCATCTCAATGTGTCCGCGATAGTGCATGCAGTCTGTACCTGACATTGTGTAAGACATTTTAGAGGAATCTATCAGATGGTTCTTACAATCTATTATTTTAGAGATTTGTTGTATACCATATAAAATATAAATTTGTGTCTTTTCAAATACCCCTATCATAATGTACACCAGGGAAATTTCATCACATGACTTTTGTTGACACCTTTTAATAATAAATACTTAACCCAGTGTGATGCCATTAAATGCCAGTAATAGTGACTCGCATATAATCCATAGGTAATAGCAAATTTCTTCACGAACAATTGGAAATCGAAGTCTCCAATACATATTTCAGTAATTACAGACTTTATGCAATATCGTCGAATGTTTTACAAGTATGTTTTATTCAAAAAGACGTGAGGTCGTTACTTTAAAAAAAAGATTACGTAAGTTTCTGAAATTATTTAAAGATGTTTCAGAAGCTCTGATAGCGTGCAAATGTTGAAGTATGTTGCTAACTTGAAGTTTTTTATCGTCATTAAGCGGCGTTCGTTAAAGAACCATTGGAAACGAATTAGCAATAAACTGTTACTATTTGCTTTTAATCATATTGAGTTTTACGGTCATAACCGAAGACAGTAAATGATGGCTGAGATATATCGCGAATTGACTGAGGCTAGAAATTCGACTCTTGTTTAATAGAATCAAGGCAACCTAAAGGTCCTGAGTTCAATCCTTGGCGGAGTCTCTCACTGTTAAGAGTTTCCAAACCTGTAGGAATCAGTTGGATCTGTCATATCCTTTTCCCAGTCATTCAATTGCTAATCTTCATTTCATATATTTGATGATGACTGATACATGATTTGACAGTCTCGTCACATTACTTAAGATTCAATGTAACCACAAGTAATTATGCCAATAATTATGTCAAGATGTTGATTTTTTCCACTTTACAAGTTATCAGTGCATCAAAAAATCCCAATCGTATTCGTTACCTATTGAATAAAATATTGGAGAAGTGGCAAGTTAAGCAAGATGTGTTATCACCTCTTTCAAAACTACTAATTCAAATAAACGAAACGGAAACTACCACACCGCGTGGTAAGTAGCATAAAAAGCAAGTTTATTTCATAATTTTTATTCACAGATTCTTACGTTAATCAAAATAATATCACCAACCAAAATAAACATCATTAAATATTTCCTCATTCGATATTTATTTTACTCATACGTTTATACGATAATCATTAGGAGCAAATAAAATATTTAATTATTCACTTAATAGTTGTCGATAACTCGACCTATCTGTAACTTTTCCAAGTATTTTAGACCTTTTCGTCACGAATCAGTCAAACAGCTGGTACATACTGATATTATGTAGGCATTGTTCTATATGTTTGCTATTATAGTGACGATATAACATAACAAGCTAAGTCCTTACGTCTAAATGCAAGTTAATCTACTTGTATCTAATAGCATTTCATATATCATGTTCGAGATTCATCATAAATTAGTTGTTCTCATTGTATTTGTTCAAAGTGAATCAAAGAATCACATAAAACAGTCATCTTTGTTGTGCTTACAACGCGAAAATGTTATAATTATGTTGGAATATGTTGAACTATTTTCCTTTTATTTATTTTTTTCCTTTACAGAAATGCCTTTGACTGTGAGCTCCAAATTAAGTTGGACATGGCGTGAGGGGCGCATGCGCATGTACTACTTAGTCGCACGCTCATTAGTTGGGCTTCATCTTAAAGCTCTTCACGAATTAGATGCTGATGGTTATAACCCAATGAATTCTGAAGACTTTTGTATCAGCCCAACCTTTACAGGTAAAATCCCTTTGAACTGGTTAGATAAACAATTCTAAATCGTTTGTCCTTTTAGATGATTGTCCTCAAAGAACCTTATATACATCATCAAATAATAATTTACACCAATTTGGCTTCAGTCCTGTACCAAAATCAATTCCTCCCGCTCTTGTTTCAAATCCAGATCGTCGAGCTCCAGTTAATAAGTCATCAGCATCGGTTAGTTCAACATTTTAAATTAGCCTTGTCATAGGTTTATTATAGACGTCCTATTAATTTTTGATGACCACACTTTGTACTTATGTTCATCTAAAGGAACATTCAAGTTTCGAATAGAATAAAATTAGCCTTTCGTTTTAAGTCTATTCATTTTTACACGAACTTTTATTTTAGTTATAGGTCTCAGGAAGTTCGCTTTGATGTATTTAGATGTGAAAGTATTCTTGGATTCTACCAAATCTTGTCGATCTCTCAGTATCATTAAGCAGTAGATAGCAAAATGATTAATGGATAATTCTTATGGAACATAGCTTACTATTATGAGTATACATGATTTTTTATGGCTTTTTAAGAATGCTTCCTTATGGACTTTTTTTAATGGAATGGATTTGCTTCAAGTGAAGAGATTAAAAAGGTTACAGTGGTTTACCTGTAAATAAGTCATAATATAATGTGTACATAAAAATTGGGAGGAATCATAGTTTTGTGAAAAATACTAGAGTATTTATCTAATTAGATAATTTCATTTTTGTTTTACTAATGAAGTTAGTTCATCTAGCTGTTGTTAAGGCTGTTACAAAAAATTACAGCGAAATCTGCACTAATTTCTACTCTGGATCATGTTCAGTGACGTTCAAAACTACTCGGTTGCGTGATATTTGGGGACTTAACTAGAAAGTTGTGATAAACCAAAAACATCAATTCTTTACATCCATCTTTCTATCTTTTTCCATCTATTTCTAGCGTCATCAAGTTATGCGCTCATCCGAAAACTGTAGAACACTATTCAGAAGGAATATTTTAGCTATCGAGGACAGTATTCTAAAGGCCATTTCGTCACTTAATTCATACAACCACTTGATGAATGGTTATAGTAGATAAAAATTGTGTTTAAACCCTGATTCAGAATAAACTTAAATCTGTATACTTTATAGTATGTCAGTACAGTCAACTCTTGAACAAATGTGTGACGTTTCTTATGAATTTACAAAGACATTTACCAAAGAAATTGAAGTGATATGGCGCTCTGTTTTTTCTACTCAGTGTAGGGTGAGCAGTATCTGGATATATATATATATATATATATATATATATATATATATATATATCGCTTATTCGAATAGTAAAACCATTGCGGTTAAAAACAAATTAGGTCATGATCATAAAAAGAGTTGAACACAGTTCATTGTTCACAATTCATATAAATTTTAATAGTTGAATTCATGAGTTGATGTAAGATAGACCACCATTGAAAACCTGGAAGTACTGGACGACCGTTTCTTCCTAGTATGGGACTCCCCAGCAGTGCGCATCCAGGATCTCGCACGCGGGACTATCGGTCTCGCGCGTGGACGCTTAACCTTTAAACCACTGAGTCGGCATCGACTCATGAATCTAACCACTAAAATCACTACATTCTTCACAAACCTCCATTAGGTTCATATAAATTTTGTTGGAAATATACTTTAGAAAACAAAGAAAAGTAACGATTTTATAAATCTGAGGTCAGTACATATGTATGAATTGCTAACTTCAAGGAAAACGTCCATTTTAGCAAATTATTAATAAATGTTACTAGTTTGAACCTTTTGATAGCTAGGTTATTCCATTTTTGTTAAATTTTGGTTTCCTTATAGTCACAACCTGTAGAAAGTTCACCAACGCTGTAAGTAAAGTTAAACCGTCTACTTGAAGCCATTTTACATTTTACAATATTTTTTGTGATGATTTAATAATTTTCATTAAAATACCAAACGGTGAAATTCGATGAAGACATTCAATTTCAATGAATTTCTGATCAAAGTATTCGTTTGCATATCGATGTATTTATAATGATTTAGTCACGAGAGAAAGTTTGAACAATGAGTAGCATTGTCAGAGTAATAATGAGAACTATAACATCATATATAATATAAAATGTTAAACATACAAGACGGCATAATATTTATATAGTGAGTATCAATAAACTATGGATACAAGACTACTATGCTAATGATCAGTTACAATGTGAATGTAATAAGCAAATTACAATGACTACTATTACATCATTAAATCCGAAGGAATGTGAAATGAAATCACAACTCAGTAAAACGCCAGCTTAAATCGATACATAATTCAATGAACCAGTACAATAATTTAATAAATGAAATTATTATCATCAAAAATAGTAATAGGTTAAGACCATTTTAAATACATATTTCAAAGAGTTTTATGTTGCACACGAAAACCGTATTCCAGTTAACCAATGCTTTTATTTTTTTAAACAATAGTAGCCGAAATAATCTTCATAGATCTAAAATGATCGTTTAACCAACGTTAAAATACCGTATAGGTTAGTTGGGCTATCGAAATCAGCTAATTATGTTTATATTCAACTCCTAACTGCTTTTACAAGAAAAGAAAACCCAGTTAGATAAACTGTACAGTTTGATAATGAATTTATTGAAAAGAAATAGGGTACAACTTCAGTTTCTACCACGATTTCTCCTTTCATACATATACGATTTAAAATTGGTTAGTCAACATTCTTTGTTTATACATTTCATACATTATAAACTAAGCTCACCAAGGAAATAATTCTGACTTGAAGTAAACATTGATTAAAAGTATTTGGAAGAGGAACTACAAGATGGTTCGAGGAAATATTATCCTTCTGTACATGACAAAAATGATATCATTCATTAATGTCATTCTTATTCGTTCACCATGATAACGGATTTAGTTATAGTAACACTTCTATTTAATATGTAAGCTGATCAAAACTTAATTGAAAATTAACAATAACAATAGAAATCAGAGCTTCAGTTTATTTCTATGAAAAGAAATTGTTGCTAAACTAGTGAAAAAAGACCTGAATTAATTATTATTATAAACTGTTTTCAGTGACACATACAATCTTAATAACTTAATTTTAGCTTATGGATTTGTAAAAATCAACTTAATTGAGACAGTTACTTCTCTTTTATAAGTTGTCGTTGTGTTCATTAAATGTTGCTTTCATCACTACATGGTGCCAACTACAGAGCTATCCAGAAACCAAGGTGTATTGATCCACCATTTCATTTTGTTTTAAACCACACCTTCGACTTTACGCTAGAGTGTATCCACAATATTTAAGTCTCCTGTAGAGCACTTAACTATCAACTAATGAACTGAAGTCTAGTGTCGCATATTCTCCAACTCTAATCAGTTTGCAATATTGCTCGATCATCATCATTCAGTGTTATCACTTAATGATAATGTCACTCCTTTCTTTCGTTTATTTAGCTTTCAACAGGGGGCAAAATTAAGCTCTCCACAAACGTCCATTTATTTAACAGTTTTGGAAAATATCCGAATGCTCGACAACGAAAGAAATGTGAGTTTACGTTTTCTGAATGTTTATTTTGATCGTAAATTTCGAACATTTTTTTAGAAATTTTCCTTTTATCTGACCTGTATATTCAGTCAGTAAAATTACTAAAAGTTACCGAAATTGACCAATTGCCCAACGTATAAGATTGTTACCTTCCTGTACACAACACCATGCTCATGTTTAACAGTGTTCGAAAATGTTGAATATAAACTAGATATTTGTTTACTATACGATGCTCTTTATTTATTATATCTGATGCATTTACGTCCATCTGTATCTTAATTTATTCAGCTCCCACTTGATATGTTTCTGTGATTTGGATCAAAAAGACACTACTAAAACATAATTATTTTGGCACTGTTTAGAATATTAATAAATTTACAATTCTATTGTGCTATTTGAAAGGTTTGACTGGCTTTTTTAAAATATTGATTACAAAGCAAGTGTAGTAAATGGGACGAATCGAAAAGAATTAATCTATATCAAAAACTATTAATAAGTTACATAGTGTCTCAAATCATTTTCTGATTCTTTTTTAATTTTCTTATAAATGGAAGTGTTTTTGAATGATGAAGCTTTGCCAGTATCATACAAGTAATACTTGTAGTCCATCGTTCTCATCACTAAGGTGAATTTTCATTATATTCACTGAGCCCTGTGATCACATATTTCAAAATGCGCCTTTACAAGTTTCCGAACATCTTCAAAACACACATTTTTTCAACAACTAAATCCAATAGTTTTATTCTTAAAATGTAATGAATGAAAATTTTCATCTTACCGTTTATTTAAATTCATAATTCATAATTCCCAGTAGTATCAACTGCATAATTAAGTAATAACATTTCAACATTTCAAGTTAACAGATCTCGGAAATTTTTTAGCTTGTTAAAAGACATCACTTCGCATGTTTATGCCACAGCAGTTTCATAAATATTGCTTCATTGGTGAAGCTGCTAGTAAGGGGTTATCAAAATTTCCAATTCTCATATATAATGAACTTTTATTTATGTTAGACCTCACCTTTTTCGCCCTAAAAGAATAAGAGTTCATCTAATTTCGGCATCTGTTTCGTCACACATAATCTGATAAAGTGTGGGTTTTAGAAGTATTGATATTTTAAAAGATCTTCAAATGCTACTTTTCTAAAGCTGCTCATCAGTATAATAGAAAAAAACAGCATCAGTTGACATAAAGCAAATCTGGAAATTCCACCTCTTTAACCGCAAATAAAGAATAACTGCTTCTTGAATCGTTTATATATATGAACTTTTCTGTAAATCTAAAAAATATTTGTTATATTGAAATAATTATTCTTAAAAATAAATAAATGATTTTTCATAAGGTGATAATTAACATTGTATTTAAGGTAATGTTGATGTTAATAATAGCATAATACTTTAAGTGAATTTACTTTCTTGGTTTGTTATAGGATAAACAGACGGATAGCAAAACTCAGTCGTGGATTAAACGTCTAAGTATAGTGTCAGGATTAACTTCAACGAGTAAAACAAATGTCGGTCATTCAGAGTTAAATTCTATCAGCATGAAATCTATGTCATTCAATATATTACGATTAGCTGTAGAGTGTACATTAGATGAGAACAATGGTCTACGTCATTCAGCCCAAAAAGTATCCGTTATATGTAATTTTTCCTATCATTAATGTTTGATAAATTGTTTTGTTAGATCATATCCACAAATAAAAAAAATGTACGCACATGAATTAGACATTTACTGTATCGATGAAAATAAACCATGCTCAGGTTTGATAACAAAAATCTAACATTGTCTTTTCCAGTCAATTTTAAGTCACATTGTTGACCACTATCAGTTATCTGTAATTGTTGTTTTGAATCAGCTTGGATTCAAACACATGCTTATAAGTATTTTTTGAAGACATTAACATAAAAATTATCCTAGCATGTTTGCAATGAAATATTTCCAACGACGTGTTCAGAAGTTTGGACGAAGTCTTCGGAAGTAACCAGACACTTTGATGTGAATACCTTCGAGGTTACTATAGTATAACTATACTAACGAAATCTGGAACCTCTATAACCCCTTAAGTACATTGTGGTCATATATATACTAAATTCCACAAGTATGTTATTTCATAAATGTCACTGAAAACAACCTCAGTACAGTATCGATCTACTTTTAACTGGTTTATTCAGCATTTGGCTTTACGTACTGAAGTTAGGTGATTTAAGAGAGAGAGAACAATTCAGCCTTTATTCAATCTGAAATTATATGTTTATGGAGAAAAGGAGAATAATGGAAGGCATTTTGGTGTCTAGAATTTTCGGGACCTTTTTTGTATTTCATCTAACAGTTCATTGAATAATAACTTCCAATTATTATTTGCCTAACACAACATTCTTACTTTAATAAGCAACGTTTTCGTCAGTTAACATTTGTAGTTCCCAGGATATAAAATACTGAATATCTAGTCTTCTGCCTGTATTGCCTTCTTGCATATGGTTTTTCATCTCATCGTTTTATGACAATGATCAAGTATAAATTAAAACAATAGGCAAAAGAAAGGTAACAAGAAGTTACAAACTATTGACATAGTGCAAATACATAGCTTGCAATCGTCTATTTGCATCTTTTGGAGTATTCTGTCATCTGAACTGTCTTCTCGTCTGGTTACTAAATGTTCCGTCAAATGCTGTGCTTTCTATGCACTCAAACTTCACTCCGTCAGGCAACTGTTGCAATTTCGACGCCACGTGCCGCTACACACTACAAATATCCTTGTATTGATAGTAGGTTTTGTGGTTTATATAAAGGTGATACCCTTTTTCATGTTAATCAACACTTCTGTTTCACTTTGTGTCACGAAATTGCAGACTTTTGAGATTAATAACAGTTTCTTTTGTTTAGGCCATTAATGATGTCGGAAGGCTAATACGATGGTATGATGCTGATCTTTTGTTGGAAATGATTTCGTTGCATATGGTAGGTCCGCCAACTATGATGTCGTATGCAACTTTAAAGATTTTACGTGATGGTCTATCTGAATTATGCATGTATGATGAAATTTTACAAAAAGAAGAGGAAGAACCTGGTTTCACTGAGAAATATGCGATTTCTGGAACTGTTCCGATTTTAAATGTAGCATTGCTTTATGGTTTGTTTTCGCCGGATAGATCAAGACTGTGGCTTCAATGTTGCCAGCAATATATTCTGGATAGCACAATGGCTCTTTTTATCAGTACTTTATCAATAGAATGTGCTTTGAGAACCCTTTGTCTTGTACACAGATTGTCTAATCTATCACTCGTAGCATGCACCTGGGAAAATATGAGGCCTAATCCTTTTTCAAATCTGCCATACGCACAACGTAAACTAGATCTAGATGCGAAAGATGTAGTAAGTTACTTTCGAACAATCAAAATTTACGATATTATATCCATATTAAACGCTTATTGTATCTGGTAATATTATATGTTTTAGCTTCGATTAAATAAACGGTTGGTCTCTAAGTTTACTGAAAAATGAAATGTAGTCTTCATTTTTGGGACAGAATTTGCGTTCTCGAGACTTGAAGAATTATGAATAAATTATTTCAGTTTAATAGTAGTTTACAAAAATAACATGATAATTAGTGCAAATGTAATCTTTTTTAGAAAAACATTTAAAGAAACTCATTATAGACATTGTCATCTTATTTCAAATGTAATATAATAGATGTTACAAAGAGGTTGGAACGATGAGAATCCCATCCCAACTAATAGATATACACTTGTAAAACATGTTCAAAACTGGTGGTTTGTTCAAAAGACACTATCCGTTTGTTTTTTCAATTCATTGGTATGATACACGTGACTCAGTATTAAAGTGAACATCTATTAACTAATACGAAAACGCACGTTAATTTCTTCTAGATGAATGTTTAAGCTTTAAAACTTTTTATATAAATTAACTAAAATGTATGTATTTACTTTTAAACCAAACGAATCATCATAATAACGAGGTTGCTGTAACTACAATTCTATTCTTATCATTTGATTACAAACTTAAGCTTGATACCTTCATCGTGTATGGGTTCCGACCAATAGTCTCCAAGTAACTCTGTTCTGGGCTTTTGTTTCCAGTTCCTTCCAAGTATTATTCATGATCTTAATGTCTGCCTCCAAACTTCAGACCTATGTAGTCTTTGTTCTGTCTCTTCATCTTTTACTTCGAAGATTTCATGTTAGGGGTTGCCTATAAGGTAGTCAGATGGTTTTGGTAGGATGCTTTGTCCTTCTCAACTGGCACCTGACTTGTTTTCTGCCACAGAAGATTATTGCTGACGGTCTCTGACCGATGGATTCGAAATATCTTGCATTGACAGCTATTTATAAATGCCTGTACATTTCTAGTGATAGTTGTGTTAGTTATTCACGTTTTAGCTTCGTACAATAGAATTATTCTAACATTTATGTTGGAAATTATGACTTTAGAGTTGAGAAACAGTTGTTCCGAATTACATATGTTCTTCAGCTGTATGGATGTGCTTATGGCTACACTAATCCGTGCCTTCACATCTGCATCAAATCCCTCTTGCTTATTCATGACGTTGTCCAGGTACGTAAAAGTTTCCACTACTTCCAGAGCTTCTCTACCAAATGTGATTTGGTTGTTTCGTAATATATTGTCCTTCAGAATCTTTCTTTTTTCTTGTAAGTGTTTAGGCGTGTTTCTGCTGAAGCCGCTGTTACATCGTCTCTTTCCACCTAAATTTATTTTGCTTGTGATACAAGTGTTAAGTCATCCATAAAGTTCAAATCATCCAGCTTCATCCAAGGTCTTCGCTGTATTCTATGTATTTCCTTATATGTGTTGGACTTCATAATCTAATCAACAAGCAGAAGATAAAAGAGAGGTGAAACTAGGCAGCCTTGGTTTAGGGTGATTGATGACTCTTTTCTCAGACCTTCTTATTTATCCGGTGGTAGCTCTAGAGGAGCTCCAGGTGGAGTTATTCTTAATGTTTACTTTATTATAAATGCATTTGGAAAAGTGGACTCATCAAAATTCACGGTGAACTTAGGTTTGAATCTTTTGCACACTTGATACTTATTCTTCATCATAATTTATTTTCTGAATCAAATTCTTCTAGAAAAATTTTAAAAATTTTCATTTAGTTAACAACTGTAATTACCCATCGACACATTAATCGTGAAAAATATGTGTGTGAAATAAAAATTGTTTGCTATTTTAAAACATTTTTTGTAGTCTGGAAATTTGTTTTACGATTCCTCAATTCAAAAACTACCCACCACATATCATGAAAAATAAATTGCTGAACTCCTGAACGTATTGAAATGAAATCGCTCTAACCCTTAAGCAGTAAAAATAATGAAAGTGCTTTAAAATATCCTATGAAAATACTGAATAACATAATATTAACTCTGCTAAAACTGAGGAAAACAGCTTTTTGCGTCATGGTATATAGCCAATAACTGTGAAGTAAATTTAATAAACAAGAGACCAAATAAATCTATAGTTGGTTGGCTATATTTATAATGCATAGTTTTGAGAAACCTGAGTATACTTTTAACATGGCAGTCTTTAGTAAGTTGAACAACTTAAAATTGTACAAAATCTAGATTTTCACTCTCTTTACTTACAACTAATATTAGTGCAGATAAATTTAACTTTATGTCACATAGGTTTTGAAACTTAAAATTGGTTTGATAGTAAATCCTTTATTTAATAAAAAAAACTGTAGGTAGAATGTATTAAAGGCGTTGTCGAATTCGCTCAACGCATAGACGTGAAACTTGGACCTACAAATGAACCAATACTGAATGTTGTCAATTTCCACAAAATGATGATAACGCAGAAGCCATATTTATCATGGTATGTAACAATTGTTTGGACGTTTTATATGCCTTATAGTTTGTTTATTCAAAGAACACAGTACAATGGCACCGTCGATTGGCTTTAAATTTTTGAATACTTATTTTAAAGTGTTGCTAATAGTTATTGAAATTAACTTCTCCGTGGTAATCACACTCTAAAAGTGAAATACACTGTTTCCACCGATTGCATTAAACTTATTTTTGACGATTGCCCATATCCTCTTATGTTGGGTGTACACTAAACTAACTTGTACATGGTACAAAGACAGTTTTATTCTTATAAAAAAGTGACTTTCATAATTCGCCAGTATATTTTGACGTTATTGTTAGGAAATAATCTAGTTCACTGACTTAACTATTACAATCAGCGATATTACATAATGTATCTATAACTTACAACCATTTTCTGGTTGTTATTATTACCTAATAAAGTAGGTTCATAAAAAATTAGACGAGTAAGGGGTCTGTGGGAGCAGTAATTTCCATCCACAATACCATCGATCTCACTATATCGTACAAATTAAAATGTCCTCACTTATTAAACTTAGAAATTATCGCAATCAGTAGTCACACTATCATGTAAGAACTAGACCAGTAAAATCAAATAGGATGTCTACTTTTAGGTTCTGTGTTATTATTGTATTCGGTATCATAACCTAAGTGTATATATCGTTTATATATGTGATAGAACAAAGTGGTGAACCCAATAAATAGCTTAAATTCACCATGTCTAGGGTCACTATTTTATAGGGAAGTAAAACGTCATTCATATCATGTTCAAACTATGACGATTGAGACAATCACTTGATAATCTTAACAGAATTATGTCATTCACGTTTGATGTATTCTTAGCTATTTTGTTCTATTCAAGTAAATGATTTTTGGAATCTAACCAACTATTCATGTTTTGAATTCTGAAAACACCTTAGTAAACAGGGGTTACCGTATTTAATTTTGAAAATTTTGAGTACTCTTGATTCATGTTTCGTTACTTATACGAACACAGGAGACAAAAGTTAAACTTGTGTGAGTTTTGACATGAATTAAAACTCTGGGTTTTAAAATTTAGTCAGTTCTCAATTGAAAATGAACGAATACTGAGGACGTGTTTGATTATTTTTTGCAGAAAGCAAACTAAACAATTTTTATGGTTTGAGGTATCAATTCCATTCAAACCAAAGTTACTTAATCTTCGACAATTTTTACCATATTTCATTTGTTCATAATTAATTTGTTAATAACGTATTTTGTGAACTGATTTCACGTTTTTTTATTCCGTGTTGTATCACTAAAACATTTAAAGAAACAAGCTTTAGAATCAGTTAGAACGATAACAAGTAATCGTGAATGAATTTGTAGCATATTTGTTACAGTTTATGACCAATTAAATCTTAACTGAAGCCCTAACTAAGAGTTTGGTCATATTACTGATATCTTTTTTATGCGTACAAACGTCATTTTACTGTTTCCAGATAATATGTAAGCTTTAAGTTAAAATTTGAAACAATTACACTATTGCTTATGATGTTTCTTCATGATTGTTGGTAGTTAAAATTGAAGAATTAGTTGTCACATCTTCACCAGTAATGTTTTCTGATTCCCAATAGTTTGAAACTAAGAATGTGTGGAATCAATAACAGCTTCTCAAGCAAACAGGCAGGATAATTGTAAAAATTCGGAATAATATTAAGAGCTAGTGATGGTATTTTGCATTACATCTTTTCTACTGCGATCTTAAAAATACAACTGAAAACCATTCTTGCTGTTGTATAACATGTACACATTTAACAGTTTGATCAGAGATGATAATTACGCCTTAATTTCAAAGTCAGTTCACTTCTAGTAAATTTGAGAACTATTTTGGCTGTAAAGTTGAGTTTTTACCGAATACCCAGCTGTAAATGATAGGAATGAATTTCTAAAAAAGTTGTTTTGATTAGCAAACCTAGAAATTTAAAGGAAATTCGGACTCATGAATTTAGTCACTTCATTTTATTTATCTGTATACTAATCAACTGACATTATTTAATATTAGAAACTAATATATAATTACTGAATACTCTCTATAGCCTACCTGATATATAAAGACGCTGAAACGATCAGGATTAATTTATAGTTCCAAATTATACTTAGAATATTATTAGAAAAGAATGTAAAATATAGCATAGTTATATTATCTTACCGAAGGACTTTCAATTTCGCTTTTGTAATACATTTTTTGTCATGTCGCTTTTGACTTTTGAATTTCCATTGGTTAATTTAGTTTACAGCTCCCTCAATCAACTACAAAGTGTTCACTTACATATTTCGTCCTCAAGCTGGTTACTAAACTGGAGTCTGTTATATATTCTTATATACCACCATCCGTAAATTCGAGTCGGCCTAATCCAGACGTTCGTATGACTGGTGGTCTTCTTTTATCCCCAATATTGCCATACCTTATCACGTGGCCATTAGCTCTTCTTCCTCCTAGCTTGGATAAAACTTTAGGGAATCCATCAAAGGAGGCGAGGATACTTGCTCTTCGTAAACTACTTCGCCTGTGAGTTTTATGTAGAACTTTAATTATTGAAGCAGTTCATTGTTATCGCTTAATTACATATTGCTCCAAACATTTGCTTATCATGATTACTCTCACAATGTAGATTGTTTTCTAACTTGATAAAAAGGCCTAAGACCCTATGAATTCTCTCAAGAGCAGTGTATTTAACTGTTCTTGATCTGTAACAATATGAAAACAAAATATTTCAGCTTTATTCAATAATCATACCTTATCTAAAGTGAGTACCTTCTGAGTACATTATGCTCGTTTAAATTTATAACTGGATGCTTTTGTTGTTGACGAAAAATTATTCACTAAAGTCAACTTTATGACGATTCTTCATCTACTGAACCAACAGAAACAAGATGTTACTTATGTCCATAACTAACCAATCTAATCGTTGCTTATACTCCCATCACCCCAATTGATCTGATGTGTCTCGATATTATCCTTATTACATGTAACCTGCCAATTGAAGGATATTATTATCCTATTATATTAGTGTGGCTCACAATTTCTATTCATTTCGATAAGATACGGAGTACTAGGCGGTATGTTTGTGCGTTTCACTTAATGACTATAATTCCTCTAATTATTGTACTAATCGAATTGTTTTTTTACGTTTAGAAACAGATCAAGTTTAAAACACAGTTGTCCTTGTTCTGACCAGAGCTTTCATATAGACTCCGGGGTCGCCAGTATCGCGTTTACAGCTCTAGTAGTACATCTTTAGGACAAATTAAATCCTACACAAGTGTCACACATAACAACAACATGGGAGTTAAGTCAGTCAGTCAGTAACTACGTAGAACTTCGTACGTACGTATATCAGTTCGAGTTGCCATACCACATTAGCACAGAGATGCAGTTGCCGACTCAAATCCCGTAGTGGTAGAGGTGGTAAGAGTATAAGCAGAAATCCGAAATATTAGGGTTTGGAGATGTTATTTAAAGAGTATAATCCAGTGAAATAAATTTGGAAAGAGGAAAAATGAGACAAGGAAGAATCAGGAGATTAAAATTTGGGAGAACACAAAGAGTGGATTCACCTGCACCAAACGATTTTGAGCCATGTCATTCTGGGTCTCTAACCATCGGTTGCTATCATCTCGCGGTCCCCAATCAGGTAGTCTACACCTACCAACATGACTCAGTCCACTTGTCAGTGACTTCATGGACTTGTGCCATGTTTTGGTCTGGCCACCCCTAGATTTCTTCTCACCTACTCCTACACCATAAAACATCGCACGTCGAGGCAGTCGGTCGTTGGGCATACGTAACACGTGTCCCAGCCATCTCAACTGATAAAGTTTCACCACTTCATCAATCGATTTGCCATCCTTACCTAGTACCCGTTTCCTAACAACTGTGTTACTTACTCGATGGTCCCATGATATACGAGCAATGTTTCAAAGATACCTATGATCAAATACTAGTAACCTACGAATATCCTCTACTCTTACCGGCCATGTTTCACAGCGGTAAATTAGGACGGAATGTACTGCTGCGCAGTAAGCTTGTCCTCTGTTTGGTAGACGGATATCTCGCCTACGCCATAAATGGCGCAATTTGGCAAAGGCTAGTCCAGCCTTCTGTGTCCGTGCTGTGATTTCACAACACACCAGAGCACAAGAGTTGATCAGATTATCAAGGTAAGTGAAGTGGTCGACAATCAGTGATTGAGACCAGTTAGATGGGATTACATCCAGCTCCCAAATCCTACCTAAGACCTCAATCAGTCTCATTGCTAATACTGGACCACCATCCTTAAAAATCTTCAGGAGTAAACCTGTCAGGGCCTGCTGGTCTCCGTCACTTCAGATTTCCTATAGCTTTTTCAACTTCGTAAAGAGTTGGAGGACCTACATTAACTTGCCATTCAGGTTGACTAGAAATCGTGGTAGTTAAAACGTAATGACAATTAGTACGAAATAATGAAAGACAGTAATTCTAAAGTATTAATTTAAGTCATTACAAACAACCAAAAGCAGTTTCGCCACGTGTTTTAATGAAACATGGAATATTAACAGAGTCCTTGGAATAAGGTTATAGTTAGTATATCACGTCTGCGCAAACTGAAGACTTCAGAATTAAGTGAAGTATTTAATTATTTGGATTTCTATTAATTGTTCTAATATGTTTGTATATGTAAGTTTCCTATTATTAATTACAGAATTGCAGCTATAATACTTGCATTGCCGATCACAAATAAGCCTGAATTTTCAAAAAGTGAATCAAGTGCAATAAAAGGTAATGCACTGCTAAAAGAGCTTGCATCAATTGCTGAACATTCTGTTGAATTAGAAACTGTTGTCAGTGCTTGTTTTACTCAGTTGGAAAATCTTGTTTCTCAATTAGTAAGCATGAATAATTTTTTTTAAAACATTTACCTCCCAATTTTGACAGTCTGATTACGACCGTCATTAAAAACATCTTACCGAAATTAGATGTAAGACCCTCCCGGTACATAGAAATCTGAGAATTTTCTTATTCAAAAAACAAATGAAGCAGAAATTATCTTTTTATTATTAATCATATGATGAAAACTCTTGACACGACTTACATGTACATACCCGTTGATACCTGAACAACGTTATCTTTTAAAATGATTTTCTAGAGTATTGTTCTGTTAAGGCCTCATTAACAAGACTGCAGTCTATTAGCGGATAGCACTGATAACAAAGCTATAATCACATCGAGCGAATATATATATATATATATATATATATATATATATATATATATAAGAATGAGTCATCGAGTGATATTTAGGTGATTAACAGTTAAGCTATAGAAAGATATGTGCGTAGGCCGTCACATGTGATCGAACATACACGATTATACATACATGATAGTGACCATAATGATAAAAAAATAGACGAGTTGTTACTGTCCGAATAAACAAATAAGCTAATAAAACGACTCGACAGAATTGACTGTAGGAGAGTTGTTGTACACTATTTAGGTTTAGATTTTGAGAGCTTTTCCTTATGATACTCTTCCTTTTAATCCGACTACTTCCTTCGTTTTGATAAGACCAGACTGTTGAAACATTACTATAATGCATCAAATTAAAGGAGTCAAGTGATTCCAGTAAAATACTAATGCCTTTCAAATGTTAGCTTTTTCGTGTAATTCAATATTTGAATTCATTGTTACTCATGGTAAACAAAAAATGAAAATTTACCAGCAGATTCACTTAAGATACTTCTAAAATATTATTTATATTTTAGAATCTTTATTTGTTTTGTCGTCACACAAATGTTCATCGGTATTATATTTTCAATATAGAATCAATATTACGAACCTACCCGAATATGTACTACTACCTCATGGTGGTGGATCCGTGCACTATGTGAACATCTACCTCGACTTATGCAAGTCGCTCCATTTTCCAATCCTGTAAACATATTACGTCTTCTAATCGAAGATGTTAAAAGGAAATCTATATTATCAACAAATACCAAACAAAATACTGGTCACCAGACGGCGGAACCAACAAAATGGTCGAGAGCACTTGAATACGGTCTTCAGGAAGCCAAATCTAAAATAAGAGTAAAAGAAGGCAGTGGAGCGTTAAAGTACCAATGGCCTAAGGTTGGTGAGATTTTACAAGCTAAAGAAACTATAGAAAAACAGTATATACTGGAAAGCAAAAGTGGAAAAAAATCACCGACAAGATCACTCTCATCTCATATCATAGATACTGCTCCTTCCCCAATAGATGAAGAACAACATCGTTTCTTTGTAACGAGCGATAACGAAGAAGAAGACGTTTGCATTCTACATGAACAAGTAGATACTTCCTCTCTTTCTGATAATGATGATGATGAAGAAGAGCAAGAACAAGAAATTGAAGGTAAGATTTCATCACTAAATTTAGTTGTATTAATGTTTAAATATGATATTAAGAAAGCAATCATGATGTGACAAAAGTGAACGTTTAACTTGGTGTGCAGGATGTAGAAAAGAGCCAGAAAATAATATAATTATTCAAAAAAAATGTGTTAAAGTCTCCGGTTAATGACATTTCACATTTTATGAACCACAGAAAATAATCTCACTTTCCCATTTGAACATAACTCATCTGTTGATTTAGGTGCTCGTATTTGTCTTTAAACCTGATTCACTTTTTTTTCTGCTCTGGCTCAAATTTGATAGAACGTTGGCGTTAAGCAAATATACATGCCACCGACCCTTGTACATATTTATCGACGTAATTCGCGTTAGAAAATAACGGAGTAAAATGAATTTTGAATACGTATATTTTATAAACTCGTTGCCTCAGATAAGCAATCAGAGAAACGAAACGGAGAAGCAGACCGGAGAAGATAATTGTGTCAACTCAGTTTGATAAAGCCTGATTCAACATTTATAGCTAAACAAAAGTAAGCTAAAGATATGTGCTGAGTAGCATAAGCAACGGACTTACATACGCTCATATAAAAATATTTAAGATTAATAAGAGGATAATTGATAAGATCAAAATGTGACTCATGAAGAATGAATAAATTGGTCTATCAAGAGGCTAGAATAACCTATGTGGGCTTGACACAATACCGACACCACAACGTGATACCTAAGATGAATGTTCAGCGGCACTTAACTTCCAACCTTGACCTAAATTTTGGTCAATTTGTATACAACACCATCAACAAGTATATCTACGTGAGTTTTCAATTCTTTGCATTTTCATTCACGTTTGACTTTGGACATGAACGTAAATCTCTTACATTCTGTTCGTCTAAGTGGTATATTTTCTTTTATAATAAATTCCAGTTATGTTGCGATTTATTCTCTGGTTTCTAGAGTATACAAACAAGTTTTTTTCATAATTTTTCTCTAGATAATTTATTACATAAACAAGAGAAGGTCCGCAGCCTGTAAGTATTCCTCAACTGCTTTCGTTATATCCGTGTATCCCATATCTTTATTAGAATTCGACCATAATTTTGGTAGATTCATTCCCAGTTTAGTGTAGACATTGTTCTAAATTATAATTCTGTTTATAAAAATCAATAATCCATTTTATTTTACAAACTTAACAGTGTGTTAATGCATATGGGTTGTGGTTAACAGTGTAATCAGGCCACGCGTTTCATTTTATTCCAGCAGAGTCGTTTGTGTGTACCTGCATCCAAATATTGATGCCCACATTGAGAGTCAAGTTTAAAATCTGTCGCTTCGAAAGTGAAAACCTTGTTCAATAAATTACTAACCCCATACAGCCACTAACTTATTCAACAGATATGAGATTACCTATACAACTGTTTGTTCCGTTGTCGACTCTATCGATTCCCAATCGTGAATTGTTTCTTTGTTTTGTTAGGGTATTTTCTATGGGATATACCTTATTAATAAAAGGTTGCGAAAGTAGTAGATTAAGAACATTTGTGCACCTCCACACAAACCTTGACCTTGATCACCTAAATTATTAAATTTACTACTTTTGGAAACGTAAGAATACCAGGAAAAATAAATGTACTTCACTTGGGTAGCACGTGGAAGGCATAACTTAGTGTAATGACATTATATTTTTCTGAATCCATTATCGCTTTTTATTTGTGTTGGGTTCGCCTAAATAAATTTTCATCAAAGATACCAATATTTGCTAGTTCATTTGGTTTCACCATACTTTAAAGATCCCAGTAATAAAGTACAGATAGCTGTTTATGGTCTCTGACTATCAACACTATATCTTACGGTTGTAAAAGGAGGCAATACTTAGATTTTTACTGACATTAGGGTATATTATGATAGTCATAAATGTTTGACTTTGACAAGTTAAGAGAAATCGCTTTATTTATACTGAGATTGATGGTATATAATTCTGAATTGATTGAACGTTTTAGTAAATTGAAGTGTTTGACTCACTAAACGTCTTTATTCGAAGAAAAAGCGTAACAGTTTAATGTAATTACTTTGAACTGTTACGTGGAACTGGATAAAGAGAAGTTACCACCATTGTGTCGATGCCAGTATTTTAACGCTTGTGACGGTTGACTTAATTTCGAATCGTTTTCACCACCACGGTTATCAAACCAATGACACAGTAAAATTATTATCTCTTCTTCTGTTTTCCTATAGAACGGTTACCCGTAGCAAGTGAGCAGAGTATAACACGGAAAACGTTTACATTTGTAACTGGCCACTAAAAACTTTGCCGGTCTTTTATTAGATAACGTCATCCAGCTGTTACTTCAAGCAATTGAGCGTTAATAATTCCCGATGTTTACATTATTAGAGATGATTTATGCAAAAACACTTGTTATATTCTACGTATCAGATATCTCTTTGTAGTGTTCCTTCTGGATTGGTACTCCGCTCTTTGTCATTTCATTATAGAGGGTTGATGAGTAAGGTATTATCGCACTTTAATACATAAACTTATTGATTATTATACAGTACAGAAGTATTTGACCGAATGGTTTACTTCAAGATGATCCGGTGTTTAATCTATCTTTGATTAGACTCAACATTCCCCGGAAAGTTTAAATTTTATATACAGAGTAGAATAAGTTAACGTGTGCCAACGTTATTCATTAAGCAATTTAATGCGAGGTAACCCATAAATTCATTATGGTTTACTCTTGAAACTGCACCAAACTGGTTTTTATATCTCAAGGTACTAGTCAACAACTATTCACTCATATAATCCTCACTAGTAACCATCAAGTTAATTTTTATTTAGAATAAATCAGTATTTTTTAGTTTCATTTAAACCTATTCTTGGTAATTATTACTCTGAAATTACCTAGTAAGTAATTCTTACAAAAAAAACTTTTTGTATCATGGTTTAATCTACTTATGAACCCCATTCGTACGTAAATCGCAATCGCATTTACCTTATTATGTAACCTTTATCATTTAATATAAAATTTTATTACTTCTGCGTATATTTAACATAACAAGAAAACCAATAGAACTAAATACTGTCGGTCTGTCAAAAGTTTGCGTTAAGTTTTGGTATGAGGACAGCTAACCAGTCAATTGTTTTTATTTATTTCTAGATTTTATATTCCTATAAAAGCTGAACCGATAGAAACACCACCAGCTATAGAAGATGTACATGAGTTGATTGAACGTGTACTCCAGTACTGTCGATCAGGTAAATATTTTCTTGCATATACTTAGGATCTTTCGTCTTTATTCCTTATAAATAAAACACCAAACTACACATAAAAAATAAACACACGTTTCATATGTTTTACATGTTCATCACATTAAGGATCCCATTATTTATCTTCCATTTCTGGTTAGTATGATAAGTTATCAACTTAAAAGTATTCCACAAACCAGTAACGAGACTGCTTTTCACAGTCGCGACTTTTTTGGCTTTATATATGTCAATTTGAAAATATAGTAATATGTTTTCACGAAAATGGCATTCTCAATAAATTTTTTTCAGGTCGTACAGTTTACATTCACATTAGTGGTTAGAAAGAATAATCAAGTTTAAAGCAGATCATCTTTTCATGAGTACAGGATAAGAGTTTGTAATCGCTAGTAGAATATTCTTGTTAGCGATTATAAATAATGGAAACATTACCAGTTTATATATTTTATACTGGAGTTAAATCATATATGAAAAATTATTGAAGGAATAAGTTAATATATAGTTTTTGAATAAATAGTGGAATTCGTTAATTATAGCGATGTAAACAAATGTGATCTAAAACAGCTTCATAAACAAAACAATAAAATGGACAAAACACAATTTCTTTGAGATCAGCTAGCTTTCTTACAATAATTATATACATTTACTATAAATATATTTGTGTAGAGTTTTGTATCCCATTTATGTCATGGTGGAAAAAGAAATATTAGTTTCACACCGTGTAGGGCTAATAACGTTTACCATTTTACCCTGTAGTTACAGTAAATCCTAACAAAATATGTTCATTCCTCCCCTTTTTTTATCTTAGATATTGTAACAACTGTACGTCAGATCTTGTCAGGTTTTGATTCACCAAACACTTCATCACTAGAAAAGTCAATACGGATTCAAGAAAGTGTTTTAGGACATACTAAAGCTCCTGTTATACAATGAACAACGTTTTGTGTTTCACTACCGTACAAACTGAATAAAGATCTTGTCACTTGCAACTATAACAAAGGCAAAATCAATTCAGTTTAAAATGAAATAAGTGTATACGAACTGTTTAGTATTCTTACATTTGAACCATTTTGCATATAATATTTAGTTATAGCTCCTCTATTGTCTGATTTTAACGATTCTGTATTTCCTTGGGATAATTATAGCAGTGATAGACTGTTACTTAATGTGCTTTTACAGTCAAGTTTTCCGTTATTGTTGTTTTGTTTTCCTTCTCTTCAGTTTTTCCCTAAATATTTACTTCCTTAGCTTACTTAGTAATTTCTTTATCGACTACTAGAAATGAACTAATATATGTACTTAATAATTTGTTTGTTATTAGAATCCTATCTTTTATGACGATTGGTGATTACGATGCTAACAGTTTATTGACAATAGTGAATACTTTTGTTGCAAAAATTTGGTATCATCCGAATGTCAAAGTTCTATTTAATTTCGTTTTACTAGTTTCTTACAAATCCCCTGTGATTCCGATTGTTAAGCGTGATTATACTTGAGTGTTCTCCACCATTTACTATTCGGACGTAGTGAGTTTTACGGTGACATGTTTATGGTCTGGCAACTGAACAATAATAATTATATCTACCGATATACCAAAAATATTCGGTGATAGGACCGTATTCACTTTAGCACTATAAAGCACTGTGATTTATTGGTGAAATTTGCGTATGCATTGCAAAAAGTCACATGCTTTCAAAAAGTAACTCAAATAAAAATATTTATATCTAACTCAAAATAAATGAAGTTTCATGTCATCAAGGTTTTTTATGAATTATTTGTTGTGTAAATTTAACGATCACACGATCTGGAACTTAAAAAACACCTAAAATAAATCAAAAAATGACGCCTGCATTTCATTGCTGTAAGTAATTAACCGACAGAAAGTATCGATCAAACTGCACAAATTTCCATTACTTTCAGCCATTGAACAGTATAAATATACAAAGTCGATTTTATAAATTAATACATGAAAATGACATATGAATAAATCAAACACCCATTAAATCTCACAAGCAAAATTGTTTTGAATTAATTAAAAAGACAATCTTTGATTAAACTTCACGCCGAAAATAAGTGGACACTTATGCAGTCAGATGGATAGACCAAACAATGTACAATTTTGCAGCCACGTGTAGATTCATTTTTGGAACATTAACGCGAGTTACGGTCTCTAGTAGAGACATTATGGAAGCAGAATTACTGAACAGTTCAAGAACACTAGAAATTAAATAGTTGCTCAAAGATGTTGATATAAGATTATCCAAATGGTTACGACAAGAACATGAATACGACTAAACTCGGAGAGGTAGGATTTTGTTTTTATCATTGAATAGTTTACCAGGTAAGTTGATTGAGGTCTTGAATTAAAGATCACAATATCTACATGATGTGTGGGCGAGAATGATAGTGATTGGTTGTCTGCTTAGTCAGACATGCAGATAGTCTAACAGGTGTTAGATGAGTTATATAATTCCCCTATCTTTATTCTTACTTATTATTGACTGTTCATTGTTGTTGGATTAGGTCAGGTTTTGGTGTGGAAACGTATTTACGTTCTAGTTCGGCTAATCACGTGTTCTTGATCAGAGTTGTGTTGAAGTACAGTAGAATAGACACTGGGAGGGAATCTAGTGTAGATATTCGTCTTAGGTAAATTAACGTCCCATAGACGAAGTGAAACCAAGCGTTGTAACACTATATCAACTAAATTCTTAACAAAAAAAACTAATTGCTGCGTAAGAAGCATTTGTCATGAACTGATAAGCCAGCTTATACACCTTTAATGAAGGACGTATATTCATAGAATAGAAAAATATTAGTCCCTGTATTCTCTCAACACGATTGCTAAAATATATATCTCAAAGTAATAAGAAGTAACAGCCCTTCAATTAAACTTAATATATACTAAATACCAAAATCCGGTCAAACGTCGAAAACACGAACTGACAATTGTCCCCACATGTAAATATCTTTTTAATCCGAATAGATAGTTCATTTAGTTGCACATTTTTTGCATTTGTTGGTTTCTCACCTTGCTACATAATCAATCACTTAAAAAAGAATTCAGGACTGTGAACTTCGATTAATTATCTATCTCTTAAATACCTGGTATTCGTGTTGGATCGAACTCTGTATTTTATTCACTCTGTCCCTAGATAATGGGATGTAAAGGACTTTCGTTGACATTCATACATTTTAATAACCTTACCCATTAATACTGTTTACATTAGTCATTGTAACACTTACTAAAGGAGTCTCATCGAATGACACTGATATTAGAAAATGAATTCAGAAATTGAAAAGCTGAAGAAAGGTAGTGAATTCAATGCCAATTATGTCCTTGAAATTCATAGATAGAAAGCTATAAGAGAATTTGTAAAGTCTTCTGACTAAATTATTTCAATTAGTGGGACTATTTTGGTGTATGGACAAACAATATATGTTTGTGAGTTGCAATTATATTAACAACCATTTGAATTCAATGAAAAATATATGTTATTTAAGGATTTACATAATAATATCATTTGGAATGGTTTCTCAAATGATATCAGTGCGTGATGAAAACGACACAAATCACCACAAAATCTCTGCAAATAATAATCCTATATTAATCAGTGAATAGTTTGGAGATGGATATTCGCAATGATAAAACCCCCTGATTTGTTTAGTAAACTAAGTTAAGAATATGCCAGATATCCACAGTAAAGTTAAATTATAGTTGCTCTGCATTACCAGTAAAGTGCAATTTAAACAGCCGAGCCATTTGAATCTTTCTAGCTTACTGTGCAGAACCGTGCTCACCACTTTTATCATAAAGCAATATCGAAGCCTTATACCAATATTGAGAAATCAATTCCAGACATTAACATCATCTATGGGAAAATAGAAGCCCTTAAAAATATTCTAATCACTGTTCTTGAAAGTAGATTCTTAAACTACACTGTATTTAACTCTGAAGTTGCTAATCCAATGAACTTTAGAATACCGTAAAGGTAACTCTCAAGTACTCAAAAATTCACATTTGTCAAACACATCCTTTATAATTATGTATATTAAGTTTAATAAAAGTGAAACTGTGTTATGTATTAGAAAATTTCTATCTAGAAAGTAAAAACGATAAGATATTTAAGAAAATAACAATATTCTGAATTAGAATCTAGTTATATATATCAAAACCAAGTTATAATTTGACCATTAGTCACCTAAATAATAACTATGTCAAGTGTATCGTCAAAATTAACAGTGAGTGCATTATGTTAAATATCAAAGAAATCTTTTACCACTAAAATTAGTTTATGCACCAAAAAATGCGAAATTACGTAATATAGAAGAACTAGAATATTGAATAAACGAATATTCGACATTAGAAGATTTAAGGAAGAGAATTTCCATAAGTCCTAGAGATCAAACTTCACTGAGTTAGTCCTTCCTTTTAATATTGATGATATTTACAAACGTTTTCATACACAGTGCATTGGGTAATATATTGAATGATTGACATATTTGCATCGGTCTAATTTGACACACCTCATTAGCACGACAAGATAAACACTAAATTCATAGAAGTAGTCACTTCAATGATAGTAATATACAAAAAAGATTGCATGTAAGGATATGATACAGAGAGGAAGAATTAGTTTGTAGAAGGAAAGATGTAAAACAGTTTTATTCTTACGGTTTAAGGGCGGACAAAAAATGTATACACCTCCATTGTGATCGATTCTGAGCCATATCACAAAGAGTCTTCAACATTTGGTTACGTTAAGCACGCGGACCCCAATCAAGTAGTCTGCATCTACCAACATGGCTCATACCAGAAGTTAGTGACTTCAAGCACTGATGCCACGTTTTGGTTCGGCCGCTCCCAACTTTCTTCCAACCATCTCCAACACCGGTTAGCATTGAACGTCGTGGTAATTGGTGTTCAGGCATACTCAACACGTGGCCCAACCATCTCAGTCGATGATTTACCATCACTCCCTAATA